TCGCTTACATCAATGTGTAGATCTCAATGAGCCCTCCAATTTGCCGCAAACTGCTCTAACAAACTCTCAAAAATGAGGGAGAAATCAAAGCTTGAAGTTTTGAAGGAAATGAAAAAAAAAGAAAAGAAAAGAAATAGAAAGAGGGAAAGAGAGAGTTCCAGCCGAGATAGAGAAATTGTGTGTGTGTGTGTGTGTCCTAAATTATTTCCTCTTTTTCTGAGTACTCTAAGTCAGTGCACAAACACGACAAAGCCACATGATCAGCCAGAGCAAAATGGATGTTTGGCCAAACAATGCTCCAGTGGGTCCCACGCCACTATCACAATTTTTCTCTTTCTTTTGTCTCATGGGGCGGTTGGTGCATCTCTTTCAGACAAGCAAAAAATATAGGGAAAATTACATATAAATGGAGTCAAAGTTTCATATTTACTTAGAGACTGAGTCAAAGTTTCATATTTCTCTAAAATGGATTGCTGAGGTGGCACATGGTTTTTTACTGTTTAAAAAATTGTGGTGCCTAAAATGCCCTTCCCTAATAAAAAAATAGTACCTTCGGAGAAAAAGTAGTACCTTCGCGAGTGTTTAAAAAACATGGTACCTGAACGCCAAAAAGTAGTACCTTCAGGTCAAAAAAGTAGTACCTTCAGTTCAAAAAAGTAGTACCTTCGCGGAAGGGTATTTTAGGCATCACAATTTCTAAACAGTAAAAAATCATGTGCCACCTCAGCAATCCATTTTAGAGAAATATAGAACTTTGACTCAGCCTCTAAGTAAATATGGAACTTTAATTCCATTTATATGTAATTTTCCCAAAAATATATATATGTATAATCATAAAACTAACCCATCAACTAACTCATCAGTGGGACCCGCACCAAAAATCATCACCATTTCCATTCTTTTAATTTCTGCTTCTAGCTCCCATTCACACCATCAGATGCAAAGCAACCCATTAAATGTCTTAATTGGATAAATCCAAACATAATCAAATAATTAATTATGACAACTAAAAATATAATGAAATAAATTAAATCTTAAAAATCCGGCACAGTGAGTGAGTGAACATAACAAGTAACATGTATCCATATATATAATGCAAATACAGGGGAAAAGTCCAAGATATATGACAAATCCAAACACACACGGGATAATGGTAGGATTTCTATAAGCGGACAAATTCAACATAAATGGTTCTTGTCTCTCTCTCAAAAATGGAGTTGCTTTTTATGGAATTAGATGGAGTGATTGTCCTTAATCTCCATTCCAGCACCAATGTTTTGGATGCTTGTTAGTAACCTCTTCTTCCTCTTTGTCACCTCCTCCTTGGACGTTCTATAAATTTTGTTTTTAAGTTGTCTGTCTGCTCATCTTCCTCTTTCATTATTAGTGTATCCTTGGAGGGTCCTAAAACATAAATTAAGAAGGGAGTTAAAAGACGAATGGGGACAGGGATTGCTTTAAGCCATAAGACAAAAGTATGCAAATGCCAAGTTTAATTATTTGTCATTTTCTCTGATAATTGTGCCTCATTTACAACCGAATCGCCACAACCAAGTGTGGCATGTCCACTTTGACTATTGAATAGTGTCTTTTCTTGTCATTTTTTTTTTATATAATTTATCTATAAAATTTTAACCAAAAAAGCTTACTGCTTTCTATAGCTCAATTTGGAATTCATCGTTGGTTTGTTTTTATTGCCGATTTGCTAATCCTACTGTGTTTTTGTTTGTTTGCTTGTGCCAAATTCTAATGAAGTATGATCTGAAAAGTACACATAAGATAGAATGACAGAACTTCAACAGTTTTATGTGTACTTTTCAGATCATGATCTGCTCAAAATAAATAAATTTTCTGTATTTTGAGTTGTAAGTTTTCACAATCTCTTGATTACATCGTTATAACCTCTTTGCATTCAGCTGTTCATTGATCTAAGATAGTCCCCATAGGCTCAGACATTCAATTCTTGCACCAACCACTCTCCTCGTAGCCAGAATGGATCCGCTCTTCCTATAAACACAACTATGCTAAATCACATTTTTCTTCGAACCATGCAGAAAATAACAACTACAAGTCTCATCGAAAGTAATTTTAAGCAATATGTGTTTTTTTCTCGGAGCATTAAATGTTGGAATTTATATATATATATTTAAATAATAAAAATTATTTTATGATCTTATGCACTACGTTTTCTAAAATAGGATTGCAATGTGATTATTGATACTCGATGGATTGGGTTGTACTTTACAATTTGGTGGTCTAATTGGGAGTATGATTTTATACCGTTGGATTGTGATTTTCCAACTTATTTGGTGTGATTTAATTCTAACCATTAATATCTAAGTTTCCATAATAAGAAGGGAGACTTAGATATGCTTGTTTGTAAAGAAGCCGTCTCCCTCTGTTGTTGTTATATATAAGGGTTTTAAAACCCTTATTCAGTCTTATCGTATCGACAACTTTTAGAAAGGGATAAAACGCTGTATTTTTCAGATCTCTCAAAGGGCGATAAAGAATTCTCAAAAATATCTAAAGTTAATCATCAATCAAGTAAGAGTTTAAATTACTCTTTAATTAATTACAGTATATTTTGATTTCTACATAAATTTATTTTATTAAAACTCAACAATTGGTATCAGAGTAAGGTTAGGATTTATAGAAATCAAAATAGTAATAATTGATTTTTCTGTTTGAAAATATTTTATACAACAATAAAATATTTGTATCAATTTTATTCTGATTTGAGCACCTATGGTTTAGATTTGAGCATTTTTTTTTTTTTTTTTTTTGTTTTGTACGAGATTCCACCATGATTATATCAACAATTGGTGCATGATAATAAACTGATATACATATTCTTAGAATGTGTTTTATGCCATCAGTTTGTATGTTAATTCATGGCACGTCGAACGAGAGAATAGTTTGATTATATCAACAATTGGTGTATGATAATAAACTGATATACATATTCTTAGAATTTGTTTTATGTTATCAGTTTGTATATTAATTCATGGCACGCCGAACGAGAGAATGTTTGATTTAAAAATATATATACTAAAGCTCTTGAAGATTTGAATAGTAAAGCTATTGTAAAGTTTTGAAGTTTGTCACTATCTTGTTAGTTGGATCAATTGATTATCGTGGTGCTATATAAGGCTGATTCATATATAATTATATATAAAACAAATGTATTGGTTTTAGTACCCAGATCATTTATGTAAAAATTATAATATTATATTATAATAAAAGTTTACTTAGAAACACTAGTCCTACGGATATAGATATAGGTATGAATACATAATTAATACATGTATATATATATTCATAGGTTAGAGATGTACATGTACAAGTGATGTAAATCTTTTCTTACCCACATATTTGACTGATTGGTTTTGTGAGCAAGCCTTTGTATTGTGAATATATATGTTTTGATATATATATATATATATATATATATATATATATATATATATATATATATATATATATGAAGTTTCTACTTTTATGAATTTAAAGTGGATTAGTTTATTTGAATGTGTTTATACATTCACGCATCAAATGCATAAATGGTCAATGAGGTATTAATGTATGACTTGTTTTTTGCCTAGTTGATGTCAGGTTTAGAATTTTAATTCATATTATATTACATATAATCAGTGACCTTTGAGTGGGACATGAGGTTGTGTGCCTATTTAGTCACATTGAGTAATTAATGATACTTGTTCAATTTTAAGTTGAAAACTTATGGGAGCTTGCGTGCCATAAGTAAGTATTATTAACTTAATTGATTTAAAGATTCAAAGTACTTTAAATTGTTTGTCGGATATATAATATACATGCATCATGGTTTAGTTATTTTATTTTAATTAAAGTATATATAGAATTGAGATTTTTAAATCTTGATTGACGTGCATGTTATTATTATATTATTCACTGTAATTTCTTAAGATGTACGAGGAGGCTTTATTTATTTGTATTAAAGCCATTTATATTACAGTGAAATTAAATATTCCATAATTTTGGGTTTGGCTTATGTGCACTAAATAAATATGAACATAAATAAAATAGAACATCTACAGTTTAGGTCTTTCCTTGGGGTTTAGGAAGATCGGTAAAGTGATCGTTTTAAAGGTAATAGCTAAAGTGGGTGATGCCTGTCAAAAGGTGACACGCTCACGAAGGTTATTATTATTATTTATTATTATTATTTTTTTTAAGACATTGGTCTTATTGAGGTCTCACAATGCATTTACTTACATGAAGGCATTAGTTCTGCCAAAAGGTGATCAATGTCTTAGTGTGGGATAAGTGAGTAGAATATTTGAGAGTGCTTGAATTATAACTAAATAACCCTCTTGCCAAAAGGTAGTGGAAGTGTTTAGCAATAATTCAAGTATAATCAAATAGGTATATGTGCGATTTGATCGCAGGTTTGGGGATAAAATAAAATCTAAAATTCTGCCAAAAGGTGATTTTTAGATGGCATTTTATTTGTTCCCGTGGGGTGGATGGTTTTGCACATAGTAAAACACCCTGATAAATTTGGCTTAAAACCCCAAGCACGAATTAAAGTTATAATCCCTAAAGCTGAGATATATTACTATATGTTGTTTATGTGATGTTATTCAATATAATATTTATTCAGGTTACAGACGCTTCCGCAATTTAAAGATATCTCATAGGGATTGAACCATTGAATGGTTAAAATTATACTGCCTAGAAGACAAGTTTTGATATTATATTGGATTTCTTGGACTACGTATCTGTTGTTTTAGAAAGAAACCCATATGCCCAGTGCATTGTCTTCTTAGGTAGAAAAGTTGTTGCATTTTTGAAGTGAACTACAGGTACTACCATGCCATTAGATTAATTTATACTTCTATTGGTGATACTATTCAAGGTGGTATTCTAGTTTTGATATTGCCAAGGAGCTTCTTGATTTGATCAACAAAGAGTTAATGGGTATTAAGAAGTAACTACAATACTATTATCTGACATAGATTATGTTAGTGAGATATGATGGTAATGGTTCAGTGAGGGAGTACATCTATAAGATGTGCAAGCTGGTTAATGATCTGAGGTAGTAGAGAATCATATTTGCTAATAAGTTAATTAGTCCACATGGTGATCTATTCTCTGCTTAGGTTTTTCCAGCTTTTCAAGGTAAATTATAATTCACAAAAAGTTAAATGTGGCATTAACCAGCTATTAGCATTTTGTGTTATTGAATGGAAACGACTCAAGGGTGTTAAAACTGAATCAGCTTATCTTGTGGTGATAGTAAGAATAGTTTCATGAAGAAACTAGGCGGCAAGAAAGTGAATAAGGCTAAACAGAATAAAAACATTAATCATGGAATGATAAATGTTGATCATGTATAAATAAAAGGACATTAAAAGAAAAGGTTATTGTGGTGGAAAGAAAAACAAAGCAAGAAAGAAAATTACCATATTAATATTTGAGCCTAACTTGGTAAAAATATAGGTATAAACATGGTGGATAGATTCGGGTGTGATCCTACTTGCTTCTTGTTTTTCAATTGACTCGATACCATCCGAATAAAATCGTGTTTTAGTCAAAGAGGATTCATCTATGTTATGCATAGGATATTGGGGAATGTCTTTCAAAAGAGATTTGAACGCTTGGTCAAGGATGAGATTATTAGGCCACAAATTTTATGCGTCGGTTGTGTCTAAGGACAAATGCTAAGAAACGCAATTTTGAGACTAGTCGGTCATTTGGTTTTAGACTATATTTATATCAACATTTGTGGTCCATTTCTTATTGTAGTTCGTTTGTAATAAAGGTATTTCATTGTCATCATTGATTGGTTCTCAAGGTATGATTATGTACTTAATCCACCAGAAGTCCAAAGCACTTGATGTGTGTAAAATGTACTAGACTAAAGTTGAAAGTAATTCGTATAAAGATTATGGTTTTAAGATCAAACCAAGCGTAGTAAGCCTATTAACATAAAGTTCATTTTCAAGCATGAGAAAGTTAAGGTTTAAGTGCCTTTAAGATTTTCCCATATGGTTACAGAAAGATTGTTACATGTCCTCTCACTAAAGGTCTTCAGCCAAAGATAATAAAGTATTTATAAAACACGAGATTCGCATAGGTGTTCGAGAGTCATTATGTTTTGATGTCCGGTATTTCTTTTATATATGCTACATTGCAGTTAGTTTCTTTACGCCTTGTGGTGATAGTTATTTTTCCTTTATGCCTTATGGTGACAGTTATTTACATTCAAAATAAAGTTATGATGCATAATTATTATTATCTTGATATACATAGTTTATGCACGTGCTATTATGTTTGCCTGGAGTGATATTTCACTCATGAGGTTGTTTGGGTTAGATGTGAGATTGACACCACATCGATAAATCCAAAATAATTATTAAAGGTTGTCTGAGAGTGATAATTCACTCATACGGTTGTTTGGGCTAGATATGAGATTGACGCCATATCGGTAAATCTAAATATAAGATTTGTCTGGGAGTGGTACTTCACTCATGAGGTTGTTTGGATTAGATGTGAGATTGACACCACATTGGTAAATCCAAACATAAATATTAAATTTTGCCTGTGGGAATTTTTCACACTCTATGAGGATATAACTTGGGTTAGATATGGGATTGGCTCCATATCGGTAAACCCTCACACTGAACAGAAGGTTGGCGGTTTGTTGTAATATGTTCAGGTGACATACCGCGATGGTATGAAGTAGGATGGATAGCTTGGGCTAGATATGGGATTGGCTCCATATCGGTAAACCCTCACACTGAATAGAAGGTTGGTGGTTTACTTTAATATGTTCAGGTGACATACCGCGATGGTATGAAGCAGGACGGATAGTGAGTTGTGCGTTTAGACCCCATGCAATTTGCACATCTCATGAAATACAGTAAAACCACTATATTTGCTTAAATCCTAGATGGAATCAGTTTTGAGACCATGGAACTGTTTAGACTAATATATTACTTGTCTACGCATTCATGATCCACTATTGAGGAAATTTATGGAGGAAAGTGTTCTAAAGTTTCAATCCATTAATTTCGATAATTGTGTTTTCTAAATAAAAATGAGTCGCCACTCAAATTTTATAAAGTGTGTTGCAATCCATAGTGTCATTTTATAGAACTTAGAGTATATAGACCAAGTGGGAGATTGTTGGAATTTATATATATATATTTAAATAATAAAAATTATTTTATGGTCCTATGTATTACGTTTTCTAAAATAGGATTGCAATGTGATTATTGATACTTGATGGATTGGGTTGTACTTTCCAATTTGGTGGTCTAATTGGGAGTATGGTTTTATACCGTTGGATTGTGGTTTTTCAACTTATTTGGTGTGATTTAATTCTAACCATTGATATCTAAGTTTTCATGATAGAAAGGGAGACTTAGATATGCTTGTTTGTAAAGAAGCCGTCCCCCCTGTTGTTGTTATATATAAGGGTTTTAAAACCCTTATTCAGTCCTATCGTATCGACAACTTTCAGAAGGGGGTAAGACGCTCTATTTTTCAGATCTCTCAAAGGGCGATAAAGAATTCTCAAAGATATCTAAAGTTAATCATCAATCAGATAAGAGTTTAAATTACTCTTTAATTAATTACAGTATATTTTGATTTCTACATAAATTTATTTTATTAAAACTCAACATTAAAACCTTAGGCGACTTACACCGTCGCCAAAAGCCCTGTTAATTTTGCAAATTTCATTAATTTTGACTATACGCTATCACATGTAGGATATAAAGTTTAAAACATAGAACTGTGGGAATTGAAATTAAAAGCAATGTAGCGACATTGTTTTAAAGTACTGATCCTCTACAGCTTGAACATAACTTTACCGCGTCTTTTAAACCTTAACGTGCATATAAGTAGGTTAAATTTACCGGAAAAATGTCCACGCGTACAAGGGCATGGATATAGAAATGTTTAAACTTTTCAACTTCAAATGTTAAAGGAATTATGTTTTCTATGGGAAAAAAGGTATGTGTATCACTTTCACGAACTGAAATAACTTTTAGTATTATTTGCATTACAATTTTAATCTAAAATTTTAAACTACCATATATTTCTCACTTTTGAAATTTTATCTAAAATTTTGGTATTTTTCGGATGACATAATACGAAGTTTACAAGTAATAAAAATATGTACAGCTAAGAGAATATATATATATATATATATATATATATATATATATATATATATATATATATATATATAAGATTCATGCAGCTAATCTCAAGTAATTGTAAAAAAAACTTGATTGTTATTGCTCTAAGAGACGGGGATATTTGCACTTCATTTTATAATTTTTAAAAGAATGAGATGACAAAAATTGCCTTTAAAAAATAAAGTACAAGAGTACTTCTACAATAATTATGAATTTGTTATTTAGAAAGAGTTAGGCTCCATTTATTTTGACGTAAAATATTTTTATTTTTTAAGTAAAATATTTTTTATTTTTTATTTTCGGGTATTTAACAAAGGTCTAAGTTGATGTTGAGGTTGAGTCATTTGAACGGGATGTATAAAATAACATACAAAAAATTGAAGAATAAGTTATTTTTGTTAGATTTTAAGATGGTGGAATTCAACTTGAAGAGAGGGAACTTGATTAGTAAGCGGACCAAATTTGTGTTCAGATTTTGATCAGGTAAATTAGGGTTTTTGGTTAATCACCACTCATATGCTGCTAGGTTAATTCTTGCCTTTTATCGTTTTTCTTTTCTTTTCTTTTTTAAAAAATTATTGTGAATTTGTAATTATTTGTAAATTCCCTGCAAGTTGAAAAGTTATAATTTTTTATTGTATGTTGTTTCGTGTAAAATTATGACATATATATAAAAAAATATAATAATAATAATAATAATAATAATTTCCACAACACAGAATGAATTTTCTCACTTTTGCTGTGAAAAAAAATTAAAATATGTAGGGGGACAAGTAGTTAATTACTTGCATCCCTACTAATGTAGGTGCTCAAACTTCTTTTCTTTCAAGGTTTTGTTTCATGATCTTCAGAGTCCAAACCGCTTCCCTTAGTCATGTTTTCCTAAAACTTTTCTTGTTTAGACTGACTTCTATCATTTGTGGTGTTACTAGTCCACGCTTCCTATATCACATTTTCTTAAAGCCATGTACAAAAGAACAACTACAAGCCACAGGACCATTAGTCTCGGGTCAATCACTTGCCAGTAAATACGTCAATTTTGTATAACTTTATTCCATTTTTTTACTTACATGTTACAATGTTATTGGTCTGCAGCAATGGTCCCAAGACCATACAATAATTTCTCCATTTTTTAAGCATTTCTTTTTTCTTCATATAGTCCTACATTTCATTGAGTAAGCTGGTACATAGTTTCCTTCCCTAATCTAGTTGTAACTTGACAATATCCTTGCCATCTAAAGTAGGCAACTAACCTCCTACTTAAATTCAATAAAATTTCTCTGTACCAAAACTCATGTCTTGTGTTTAGAGTAATCAATTTTATACGGAGTATATCCTTATAATGACAATATGTACAAAGGAATCACCTTGGAGAGTTCAATACCTGTATTTACTTGGCTTGCATTGAGAGGAAGATTGAAAACACTTAAAATCTTGCTACTGCTCACTAACAGTGGCCTAATGCATGTCATTTTTGTATACAAACCCGTCCTAAAGGTATAAAAGTTATTTTTATATCCGTTATTAACGGGGCGGTAAAAATTGCCACCCCTAGATTGTACCTTATCTTGGACCATTTTTGTGCAACATATAATCTGTAGAATGTGTGTGCAAAAGCTGATTCTGAGCTCTGATGAAGCACCATTTCAGAACAACTTGGAATTCCTGTGTGTCCAGATGTGGTAAACACAGAACGACTGAGTGAGTTTAAAGATTCAGAATTTGATAAATATAGATCTGCAATGGGAGAAGTACCATTCGATCAGTGAAATGTAATATTCCACAATTGGATGCATGCAATCCATTCATTCACATGCAAATTTTCTAGGGTGACTGAAAGGAATTTGAACTCCCAATCTCCATTAGGCTTACAGTAATCTAATATCATCATTATCAATAGAGAGAGAAGACTTCATTTAACATTCAAAACTCTGCCCCACCGTTTCATATGTCCTAAAGTTCCTTCGCAGATCGTTCATAAACAAGTTTATTTCGACAATGTAATTCCTTCAGTTTTGGGAAACTTTTTGTAACGAATGCAATAAAAAATTTCCCGTTCGAAGTACGACAATGCGATTGAAACCAACTGGCCAGTGGCCTAGCGGTATTAGCATCTTACCTCCTAAAGGAAAGTCAGAGGTTCAAGTCTCAGAAGAGACATGTGTGTGTGAGTACCAATGAAAAAAAAAAAAAAAAAAAATATGACAATGCAACTGAAGGTGCATTTATGCATGTGACAATAAGAATGCATGTTATTTTTGGTGTGCGAGCATGCATTCTGGAGCATGTCTAGTCATGGAAATTGTCTGTTATTGTACGTGTTGAAAATATTGTAGTAAATGGTGTTACAAAGGGTATTTCTCTCATATAAGATTCGGATGGAAAATGTTATAAATGAGTGGGTATGCAGCACTATCTAATAACTTAAGTTTTTGAGTAAATGGGTAAGCGTCCACGGGTTACAATTAGTATCAGAGACAAACTCAGTTCTTGATCCGGTGTCACGCCAAGCGTTCGGTCCAGAAGGCACCCGGGTGAGCCACCTGGATAGACAGGGTGGTCCGATTACAACGAGAGCGTTGCGAGTTCGAATAAGGGAGAATGTTATAAGAAAGGGGTATTTGTCTCATATCGGATCCGAATGGAATAGTGAATGAATATAAATGAGTGGATATGAAGCACTACTCAACAGTTTAAATTTTTGAATAAATCTGTTACAAAAGTTTTCTACCTGTAATTAACTACCAATACTTTTAACTTGTAAGATGCTCCGATCCTACTCCATTTATGTGCGATCCCTTGCCTTTGCACAATAAACTTCCAAAATTGAAGATTTTATAGGTTGTAGTTAGTGTTTCCTAGTAGATGCCAATATAGGTACTTGGATGAACCTTTGTGGAGGTGGAGGGTGTGAAACATGACGCGGGCACTCGTGCAGCATGCTCAACAATGTTTAATGAAACAAAAGTCAACTCCATTTTTTGAAGTTTAACAATGGGATTATGGGAAAGCACCTTTTATACTGCCGCGTCATCCACCTTGTAATAGAAGCCAGAAAATACTTAAACATATATAGTGATGATATGCTCTATTTGATCGTCTCTATTTGTTTATTCGGTTTCGATACAAAAAGGAATTCATGTTAAAATACCAAATGAACGTAGATTTTATTTTTAATTCATTCGGGAGGAAGTGCAAATCTTACGCGGTCTATAGGAATAGGAATTAGATGATCTTATTTTGTCAAATATTTAGTTACAAACTCCTATGTTCCTTTTATGATTAATAAGAATGGAAATAATAATTAACAAGCCTAAATATTTTAATATTAATAACGTCCGGAGATGATATTGATGATCATTGATACTAGTTGGGGCTGCTAACTCTGAACAATTATTATCAATGTGTCCTGACTGTATTATTTGATTCAAATAATGTGTCAAAGTGAAAAACCTTTTAATCATAAATATTCTTAAACTAAAATTAACTCCAGTTTTGTTTGGTTATGTAAACTAGGACTTCATTTGGTTAGATAAAATAAAAAAAAATTTGAGCTTGGTTAAATAGAAAAGGAAAAGTTATAAAAAATTAGGATTCTCTCAACTCTCTATTGTTTTTTGAGCAAAATTTTTCGCGTGAAAGTAGCCTCTTATTATTTTGTATTCTTTATTTTACCCGACAACTTATTGATATTATTTTATCCAATAACATCATTCATATATAAACACGTTTTTTTTTGTTTTTTTTTTTAATGGGTTCAAAAACCAAAAATTGTAATCTAACAATAACTTTATCATATATAGGTGAATTAACTTGACTTTCATTCCTAATTGTTTTTCATCGTATATGGACATGAAATAAATAATAATTTGCAAGGACTAAATTAATTGAAAACTCCATTTATTTTTATATACATCACAACTAATTAATTATCTATTATTCTACTATTTATTTTATCATTTAACAATTTTTATAAAATAAGGGTAATTTAGGTATCTAAACTATAATATCATATTTTCTTACAATTTTCTTGAATAAATTTTCATTCTAACCAATTGCATGCTAAAAAATTAATTTTTTCTCATTCATTTCAAATTTCTTTTTTATTTTTTATTTCTTTTCTTTTCTTGCTATTTTCATATTACCAAACGAAGTCATGAAAATGCAATTTTTTTTTAATAAAAAAATATAAATTATTTATCGTGTTACCTAGGATCAATTTAGTCGCATTTCAAATTCCAATTGAACCCTTTCATTTTTTATAATTCTCAAAGAGGAGGATTATTCTCTTTACCATGCATATCCAAACACCAGTTATTATAAGCACAAACAATCTTTGTCAATAATTCCCCTTACCCATTATTGAGGCAAATACAGATGATTAAAGAACGGAAAAAATGATTTGCGACTTTAAGGCATATGGTCACTTTTCTTAAATAATTTGTCCCACGGTAATTGAGTTTTTTTATAACAAAACATCTTTAGAATACAACAAATTGAAATATGCAGTTAGCAATACTAAAAAAAAATTCCCTTGAACAGTCTTTTACAGACTCTTGGTGCGGAAGTCATGACTTTTAGTTTCAATAGAAACCAAAAGATGTGACTATTGATATAAACCAAGTGACATGACTTTTGGTACAAATCCTTTTGACAGTCTTTCTCTCACTCCATATATATATATATATATTACAATATATCCAAAAATCCCACATTATGGTAATATATAACTACTAGTCAAAATTACAGTGATACTAGCTATTATATTGCACATATTCATGAATAATTGTGTTTGTTCAAAATACTTGAAAGACTTTCAGTAACAGTTATTTTAACTGTATACGATCCATTGGCAGTTTATTATTGATCTCCTTATTGTCTTTGGCTTCCCACAACAATTTGTTGACCGGATCACTCAGTGTACTACCACTGCATCTTACTCCATTTCCCTCAATGGAGAGCTCTTTGGATTCTTTAAGGGGAAGAGAGGGGTTAGGCAAGGAGACCCAATCTCTCCCTTGCTTTTTGTTTTGGCAATGGAGGTGCTTTCACAGTTATTTACTTATCACATAAGACTTAACCCTGGTTTTAAATACCATTGGAGGTGTAGTAGGTTGGCCATCACTCACCTCACCTTTGCAGATGATATCATGATTTTCTCACATGCTAATATTGCCTCAATTCAAATCCTACTGAATGCACTTAACCAATTCTTGTCATGCTCTGGCTTGGAGATCAACAGAATAAAGAGTTTAGCCTTCTTTGCTGGGGTTGACACTCTTACTAAGAATGCTATTCTACAGCTCTTGCAAATTGAAGCTGATTGTCTGCCCATTACTTACCTTGGAGTTCCACTATCACCATCTTCCATTGTATCCAGAGACTGTCAATCCTTAGTTGACAGGATTACTGCTAGAATCAGAAATTGGACTTTTAGGTTCCTGTCATATGCTGGCAAAGCTGTATTAATTAAATCCATACTTTGCTCCATACAAACTTACTGGTCTCAAACCTTTATATTGCCAAAGAAGGTGTTGGAACAAATCAATCAAATCTTGAGAAGCTTTTATTAGTCTGGAGTGGAGCTGAAGAAGAGTGGAGCAAAGGCTGCTTGGTCTGCTATTTGCAGACCTAAGATCAATGGGGGTTTGGGATTTCCTGACTTGGAGTTGTCTAATATCCTTGGTAACCTTAGACACATCTGGAAGCTATGCACCAAGAAGGACAGTTTGTGGGTTGCCTGGACCTTCAATTACCTCATAAAAGCAAAGAGTATTTGGACCATCAAACCAACTGCACTAAGTTCTGGATTCTGGAGAAGACTGTTGAAGCTTAGGGGACTGGCATGTGGTCTCATTAGACACAGAGTGGGGGCTGGCACTGATACTATGATGTGGTTGGATTTTTGGCTTCCAAATGGCCCAGTAGTCTCTCAATTAGGACTCTTTGAAATGGAAATTCTTCAACTGGACACTTATGTTTCAGTTGATAGCCTAATATCCAATTTTCAGTGGGTTATTCCACCTGCAATTCAATTCCCTTAATCCTTTCAATCCCATGTGTTCTTAGCACAACTACACAGTATCCTTCCACCCTCTAACTCACAGGACTCACATGAATGGTTGCCTAGCCCTACTCTGAATTTCTCCTTTGCACATACAATGTCATACTTCTCTCACCCCTCATTTATTTTCCCTTGGCATCACCTCATTTGGTTCAAACACCACATTCTAAAGTATAGTTCAATCACTTGGTTAGCACTTAGAAATAGGTTCTACACACTTGATTCAAAACCTATGCTGAACAAACATTACACAAATGCTTGTTTTATGTGCAATTTAGAATTTGAAACAATGGATCGGACCATCTGTTCTTTAATTGCAATTATAGCCCTCACATTTGGAGGTTCATTCAGGGGGTTACAGGTTCCACTTTTCAGTCCAAGTCTTGGTCTGAGTTGGTTGCTTGGTGTTCCACACACTTTACTACAAAGAAGTTTCTTGTACACAAATTGTTTCTATCTGCTGCAGTTTACTTCCTTTGGATGGAAAAGAACTCAAGAGCATTCAGAAACAAGTCCACTGTTCCCCATCACGTTATCTCTCTGATCAAATCAACCATTTGTTCAAGATTAGCCTCTATCACTCTTAGAAGCACCTCACAGCTTAGCCATGTACTCTCCTACAATGACTTACAGTATCTCTATTTCAAGGGCTGCTACATCTATGAAGGTCACTCATGGCTGGTTCAGTAGAGGTGGGAGTGTAGAGATGTTGCTTTCCAATGGAGTGGGAGTCTTGCTTTGATCCATGGTGCTGCTCAGTTGGAATGTTGCTTTGAATTATGATTCTGCCATGTTGTTTACAAAGTGTTGCTTCCTCTTTGGAGGTCACCATGTTGTTTATTTTTAGTCTGCTGACTCTTGTTACTTGGTTGTTATTTGTTTTGTTTGCTGCTTTTTGTAGCCCTTGGTGGCCTTGTGCCGGTTGTTCTTGCTTCGGGAGCCTCTTGTGCTCTCATGTATATTCTCTCTTTTCATATATATATACAAGCTTACCTTCAACTGAAAAAAAAAAAAAAAAAAAAACTCTTTATATTACAATATATCTAACAATCTATTAGCTGTAGAATCACGGTAATTACGACCCATCACAGACAACCATAAAACGAGCTAATCAGGTTAATACTTAGACCATCATCAATGCCATATAATAGTGTGATCATAATAAGTTTGGTAACTTAGTAAATACTGGTCAAATAAATTTCAACATAAATATAAGGGTCGCTAGTGAAAAACACTCTTATGGTATACATACAGAGTGTATAATTTTCTATACGTTTTGAAAAATCTCTAACATTCAATTTTTAAGCAAATAAGGGTCTGAAGACTGAAAAGATTAAAGTGTCCCTCTATAACTTAATATAAAAAAATGGGTAAAAAAATAATTAAATGTAAAATGACTAGTGTTCCTATTTTTTTTTTTTTTTTTTTTTTGGGTTGTAACGACCTTGACCTGGAGGCCCGGACCGCTACACGGGTCTTACTCGAACCCGAGGTTACCTAGGTCCATCACGACATTTCTATAGTCAACACTCCACTACAACGCTTGAACAACACTCTCAGTACGCCCCATGATCCAAATCGACATGAACCAAACAAACACCGAAAGAAAGAATGGAAGATGACCAAGCTGCTTCATTTCGATCGACCAAAGTGGAGCTTCGGTCGTCCGAAATGGAGGTCCCGAGAGCAAGAGAGAGAAGAGAGAAGCTTGAACCTAAAGCTTCATTTCGGTCGACCGAAGTGGAGCTTCGGTCATCCGAAATGAAGATCCCGAGAGTGAAGAGTCCTGTTTCGGTCGACCGAAATGACAATCCCGAGCCTGAAAACCTGCATCCCAGGAGCTGCACTTGTGAAATAATAAAGAAGCTTAAATGGAACTTTAAAATGGCTACACTTGGTTAAAACACTGCGAAAATACATCATATATTAATCATGGACGAAACACCAACTCTTGATCCCATAAACCAACATTTAATTACAATTCGTTTACAAGGAGATATACATCATAGTTGCATGTCCAAAAATCTATGAATATACAAGAGAATGTCCAATTACAAAAGTAGCAAAAGTAGTCTTCTAACAACTTTCAAGCTTGAGGTAGATTGCCGTCCACCGGTTCTTTTCCAATACCTGAAAAAATATATATATATGTAGTAAGGTGAGCACAAAGCTCAGCAGGTGACACTTAAGACACACATCTTGTGTCATTGTGAATCCATACAAAGAATAGGCCAATAAGAAATGGGGATCATGCAATATCGGGAGGTAATACAACATTCCAACCAAACTCATATACAACCAATGCAATGTCATGAAATGTAGATGCATGCCAATGTCGCTCCCCTTTTTCATTTCTTGAAACCATAACTTTCAAACCGTCAATATAGCCCGCCCTTTGGTGACCCCACCGCGACACGAGAGGAGGATTAACTAGTGTCCCTAACCCTTGGTAACCCCGCGGCGTCATTATGGGGCCCAGCTAGCTCAACCACGCTAGGGCGACTCCCTAGTCCCTTCTAGGCTATATTAACCTCCGGCACGTTGGTAACCCCGCAGCGACCTGGTTTTTCCAAAACCATTTCACAAAAACTTTTCTCCCAAAATTCCCCTTTTTGCTTTTGAAACAATTTCTCCCATTTCATGCAAACCCAATGGTATGTGCATGTAACTATATGTGTCATACCTTCAATATCATGACATTTAAAATTCTACACCATAAAATTAAATATACAACATGTTTAACATCTCCAAAGTAATCATTCATACATTAAGATACAACAAAATACATTTAAGCATGCTTTTCACATAGAACAACTCACATTCATACACATGGATTTCTCTAAACAACATGTAAATAATCATTGATATAATTAACTCCTAATTAAGCATGTTTGGCACAACAAAGAAGTGTAACTCACAATGGAACAAGAAAGAGGTGGATTAAGATGTCCCTACCTCAATATTACACTAAAACCCTTAAAATGGGTCCCTAATTTGAAGGCCAAGGGGAGTGCCAAAGCTGGAATTGATGATACCAATGCGTAGAGCTCGTCGTGGGCTTCGTTTTGCCTCAAACGGCACCCAAATCCGGCAAGGAATGAGTGAGAAATCAAAGCTCAAAGATTTGCTTGAAAAGAAAAAGGAAATGAAATGGAAAATTGAGAGGGAGAGAAAGATATGGGGAGAGAGAAAAATGAGAGACTAAGAATGGTCTCTAGCCACTAAATGTATGGGTGGTGGGTCCCACCACCAACTTTCTTTTCTTTTCACTTTTTCTTTTGCTTGAAAATACATCTCACACAGATGAATGCACCACCAATCATAAACTACATGATTCCATAAATTAAAATGCATCAATTGCAATTGGACCAAACCACAATCCCGAACGCAACATGCGAAATGACCAAAATGCCCTTGCATCAATGAAATTTCGAAAAAATTGAAAAATGCTAAAAATCGAAAATGTTACAGGGGTATTATTGGAAGTGAAATGGGTATTTTCAGATTTTAATATTTTAAAAATATCATGTGCATTTGTGACCAACTTCAAGTCATTCTTTGATCATCTTTTCAAACTTAACGCATTTATACCAAAAAAAAACTTTAGGAGTGATATTTGCCCTAAATTTAAACATTAAATGTGTTTTCCTCACTTTGCCCAAAATATAATAAAAACTGTATATATATAGGAAAATGAAATGAGAACCGAACCAAACAACTGAATGAGATGTCGAACTTAACGTGGCTCGGCCACGTCAGATTATTTCCTAAAAGTATAAACGTGTGCCGCTACCTCTTCGTTTCTCTCTCCTCACTTCCTCTAATTCTCTGTTTTTCTTCTATATTCAATCTTATCTCAATCAATTTTGATTTTCTCTGTCTCTCCTTTTGATTTTGCAAAATTAAAGATGAAAAACAATTAAAATTTCTTCATGTTTTGCCAATACAGAAGGCACAAAACCAAAAAAAGAACAAAAAAGGGGAGAAAAAAAAAGAAAAAAGAAAAGAACTACAACTATTGTTTCTGTCCTTCAAATTTTGTGTTCATGAAAATCAAACAGAAAATTTGAGAACATTCACTCGTTTTTTTTTTTTTTTTTTTTCTAGTTGGTACTCACACACACATGCTTTCACTGAGGCTCGAACCCCTAACCTCTCGTTTGAGAAGTAGGAGTTTGGTACCGCTGGACCACTGGCTTGTTGGTCACCCATTTCTCTTTTCTGTCAGTTTTTTTTTTTTTTTAAATATATTTTCATCCAGTAAGAGATTAATATGTCTTGTAATGGCAACTCTTGTGCATATTTATTTACGGTAAAAAAAAAACACTTTTGCATATTTTTCATCTGGGACTTTTCTCTTGAAATATTTATGAATCAGAATTCTAAATGCCAAGAAGAGAATAGTAGGTGATCTTTAAAAAAAAAAGTGAGGATAAGAAGATATTTATATTCGTTCCCTTGTTTGGAGGTATAATCTTACATGAATTTTGAATATTCTCTCTAAAATACTTTGGATATATGTATGCGTTTCATCCAATTGTTTGGACCCAGTTTCAGACAAGAATTAATCTATAGGGGTTCATTATAAAAGGAAAATTTTGACCACTAGATTTCGAGAGAGGATAGATAAGAAGAATTAATGAAGAACGGGAGAGACAAAAGACGAGAATTAGAGAGAAAAAGGAGTTAGCGTTTTACGCGTAATGAAATTGTCTGACGTGTTCTGTGTCCTTTTCGGTAGAAACCTGCTCATATATATATACTACAACCGCTACGTTCTAATTTTAAGCAGGATGAATTATATCAATTAGAGAGCCTCACTGAATTCTAAGCATGAATAAATTTTTGTTGGTTGGCAATAAATATATTGTTCTTTTGCTAGTTTTTACTTGTGTAATTACCTCCAGCATCCCCAAAAAGAAGTTTAAGCACATAAAAAAAATATATAAAAAAAAAAAATAGTTCTAGAGAAGATCGATG